GGTTTAGGATTTCGGGTTAGGGTTTAGGGTTCAGGGTTGGGAGTTCAGGGTTCAGCGACTTACTTGAGGCCTGAGGTTTAGAGATCCCGGCTTAGGATTTAGGGGTTTGGGGATTGAACTTTTTTGGACTAGAGCCCAGGATTTAGGGGCCTAAGGCTTAGCGGTTAGGGTCTAAGGTGTTGGGCTCGGAGTTTAAAGGCCGGGGTGTTGGGCTTGGGGCCCTGGGGTCTTCTGGGATTTAGGGCTGAGGGCTTCGGCTTTTCAAGGGATCGAGCATCTTAGGGTTCGGGGGTTGAGGATCCGTGGCTTTGGGTTTTTGAGCTTCGGGGTTTCTTGAAGGCCCTCAGATGGGCGTTCGACGTTTGCGGTTGGTGGCTTCCCATTGGCTTTAAGGCTTTTGGGATTCGAGTTGCTTTCTGCCAAGGGCCCTCAAGAACAGCAGACCCAGGGAGGCGAGTGGATCAATCCGAAATTCTGGGTGCCCAGCAAGCGCGACCGAGTCCTCTACAGCCACGATGGGATTGTCACCATCTTCGGTGTCTACGAGGCGTAGGACCTGGGCTGTAGCACCGAAGCCTCTTACCTATCATGTCTATGGATATGGCAGCATGAAGCATTCTGGCAAACGAACCTTGTCTCTACGCTGGGTGCACGATGGCTTTTACGACAGGAAAGTCAGTTCTGATTTCTTGCAAATCTTTGGTCGCCTTCGTCGCTGGGGCCAGGACGTCCCATAGAAGCGTGGTGGTGGCGGCGAGTGGCGACGTGTGGCCAAGCCCAAAGATGTCCAGGCGTGTGCTGTAGCGCTCCTCGTCGGGCTGTTGGGTATTCGTTGTAAGGTATGCAAGCGGTCTACTCGAGCCGAGACTCCTCATACTTGCTCAGGAGTGTCTTCCACTGGATGCCACCAATAGCCGCAGCGGGAAAGCATTGAAGCAGTTCAGACAACTGCTGTGCTACCTCGGTGCCCGCATCGCCGCTTGGGGGGCGGAAGGGGGAGGAGTTGCGGGGTCATATTGGCCTGCATTTCTTTCACACAAGCTTCGTCTGCCTGGTCTTGGACATGTTGGCCCAGGCACTGTCGACGGTGTCTGGCAAGACAAGACGGTGCGTGCCATTGCGGGCCAAAACTTCTTCCGGTTTTCGGGCCGAGCTACTACGGGGAACCCTCGTCGGAGAGTCTGAAAGATTTTTCTGGTGTAGCTTAGAGTTCAATCTGATTCAAGCTGGTGTTGCGGAGGGTTCAGCAGCATCAGATTTCAGGGCCCTGACTCTGAGCCGAGCAAAGATGCGCCAAGAGGACAGCAGTCCCCCCCTTTTCTGCAGAGCTCAGGTCAGGCACCAGCAAAGCCCCGTCCCTCGCAACATTTCCACAGCTCGCATTCCCAAAATGCCGTGCAGGATGCCATCCATCGGCCACATCGAGACTACGATGAGGCTTCTTTCACGGGACATGGTGCATCACAGTCACCATAGAGCATGAGATCGTAAACTCTGAGACCGTGGACGTGCTTGGTGAAGAAGCTACTTGAAGAAGGCCTTGCTACTTGGCATACTCCGGAATTAAGAGCGACGAAAAGGAAAGCACAGTAAACAAAGCTTCTGCTCGCATCCTCGCTGCACGGCCACGACCACCAAGAAGACATTCCCCGCCCTGACGATCGATGAGGCTTGTGAAGCAGGTCAGCGGCGCCAAGAGAAGAGCCCATGTCGTCTGCCTTGCGGCTCGATGTAGGCGAAAAAAGGCCCCAAGCTCAGTGATCAGCCGTGAGGAGCCATGGCCTGCGGCCATCATCCCCTTGATCGAAGTTGAAGCTGCGCCGCACAGGATTACGGACGTCGGTATCATCAGTACTCAGCATTGCCTCGGTTGGATGTTCTTCTCCTCCGTCCGCATGCCAAGGTCTTGCAGGCGGTCTGTTCGCTGGCTCTCTGCAGAGCATCCCCGGAGTGCAAGCGAGAACTCTACGCTTCCATGGTAGCAAAGGTTGTGGAACTCACAGGTGATCTCTTCCACAACCCGTTCGACCCAACGGGGTGGCCAAGGACTCGCAGGATTCAAATCGTCCGAGGCGCTGTAGCACTGCCCACCGCATGTTACCACGAGCACGCATGCCAGTGCCAGACCCAAACTTCTTTTCGGTTCCCGGATCCGGCATCACGGACAGCGATTCCGGCATCAGGCATGGCGAGCCCAAAGAACGAGGACCACATTCACCTAGGTTCAGGCATTGAGATTTGTTCAACTTAGGATTTGTAGCTCATGGGACAGCCCCAGGCACGGCAGCGGCACCGAGGACCATGGGCCAGTTTCCGCAGGCAGCGACCAGCAGCAGCACGAGGACGGGCACCTGCGCCACCCGCAGCAGGGGTTTAGGGCCACGGTTTAGGGGTTAGGGTTTGGGGATTTCGGGGTTTGGGGCTGCGAAGTTTCTGACAACACTGCTGGTTCAAAGCTTGAGCGCCCTAAAACATGCAAGAACATCGCACATCGCACTCCGACAGACAGAAGCAAAGACAGACACACAGACAAACAGGCACACGAAAACCTGTAAACCTCCATCTTGAGCAACCTTTATGCAAAACCGCCTCACAGGACCCTCCCTTAATTTGCCCTAACACTACACCCTCAACCCTCATCTGAAGCCCTAAAATGGCCCTAAAACCTATGCGCCTTCACCGCGGCCAGGACCCAGGCACCCGCGCGGCCACCCGGAACCTGCAGCCCGTGAGGGTGCTGGGCTTCTGGGCTCTTATCTTGGAGTTGTCTGGGCTTGGGCTACCGTGTTTAGAGTTTAGGGTCTGCGTCTCGGGTTTAGCGTTTAGGGTTCACTTGTGGTTTATGCCTTGTTCCAGTCTGTGAGTCCTTGGGCGGCGGGCTCGAGTTACATGGGGGCCAGCCAGCAGGATGTAGGCCGACAGCGCTGCACAGGCTACGCACTGCGGACAACTCACTTGGGTGCATGGATCTAAGAGTTTAGCGCATGGTCCCCGAGTCTGCTCTGCTGGTTGGCAAACTCAACCTCCATCCAAGATTTCTTCACTTGGCACAGGCATCACGAACTGCATCACAGCCCCGAGCTTTAAACCAAGCCTGAAAGCGCCGCTCAGCATCAGGCTGCCTGCAACTTGAGAGCAGAGTTTTTGGATAATCGTGATAGTCTTCAGGCGGAGTAGGATTGCTCTCATTGTCTTGTCTGAGTCGATGCTTCTTCTTCTTCTTCTGCTGCTTTGTACTCTTTCTGCTGCTACAGCTGCTGCTGCTGCTGTTGCTGCTGGTGCTGCGGCGGCGGCTGCTACCACCACCAGCACCACAACCATCACCACTACCACCACCACCACCGCCGCCGCCACCACCACGACTACTACTGCGGCTGCTACTACTGCCGTTGCTGCTGCTGCTGCTACGACGACGACGCCGACGACGACGACGACTACTACTACTACTACTATTACTACACTGAAATGATGATGCAACGACGATGACAACGACGACCGCTCAACCGCTGCGACTGCAATGTCAACTGCTGCAGCTGCTGCGACGAGGACCACCCCACAAACACTGCCGCAGCTGCAGGTGCAACTACGACTGCTACATGCCACTCTATGCCTGTTTTGTCCCACTTGTCCTGGAAAGTCACCGTTTGAGTTTTCATGTTCTCGTCTATGTCCGAGAAATGACCACAAAGCATCCGGCACTAAGGAAAACCCAGACTGGACAATTTTCGGTTTGCTTGCTGGGCCGAGCACCTGTCACCGCTCCACAAGAAGGTTCTGGCCTATGAAATTCTTTGGTCTCCAATTCCCGGCTCGGCTGCTTAGACTAATGATAATGCTTCCGACAAGTCTCTGTCAGAACTTCTGCTTATGACAACTTGAGGCCACGTGGGAAGATGCATTGAGTAGCCTGGGACATCATGTCCTCCTCGCTGGCCTCCGCAATGTCTGTGCCACCTTGCTAAAGGCCAGATGCCAGGCACAGACGAACTAAACAAACGTCCTGATTTTTGTGCTGGGCGCTTCACAACAAGCACACTCAAGCGGTCGTTCGAATCGGTCAGCTGGGCGATCTTCATGTCACAACTCACGTAAGCCCTTGGAGACCCTGCTTTGAAAACTGTGATGTCCGATCCCTCAGCAGCCAGCGTCAACAGCTGAAACGGCAGCAAATCCCGACACCTGTCGACCATTCACCCTTTTTCCCAACCCGAAGGCACACTGCCAGACAAAATGTAACTCCAGGCCGTCAAGCGACTGTCAGAGTCAGACGTAACTGGTTGCGAACTCCTCACAGATGCCTGCACACGTGTGGTTCAAGGTCCAGGATTCAGAAATTCAGACTGAATGACTTCTGGCGTTGAAGTTCTGCATCAAGCAATTCTACTCAATCTTCTCTAGAAATCTTCAGAGCTGGTATCATACGGCATGATGCCGCCAGCGATGCTTTGCGCCATCGCCATCACGATCATCATCGCCACCAACGCCGTGGCATGTCAAGATGATGATAGCCACTGTTCTTGCTATAATGTGTATCACAGCGACAAGCAAAATCATGTGGCCCGTTCCTGTTTTAATATCGACGGGCAGCAATGACAGGACCTCGCGATGTTTGTTGCCCAGCTCTTGAAGGCTGCAGCCTACGTATTGCGTTTGAAGCCAACATCCAGCAGCGAGAAATCTCAGAAGCCATCGACGGTCATTGAGAGGCTACCGGCAAGAGCTTTAGGTGGCCAAAAACAGCCTAAGAGGCCCTGGTTTCGTGCCGATCGCGACGATTTGAAATCCTGTCTCTGGAAATCTGCATTGCTGACGTGTCTTGCAGGCAACTGCCTCGGCAGTGTTGGTCCGCATCCGGGGATAGGCCGAGGCCGAGGAAAATCTCCCCAACTCGGACACCTGCTCCAGAGCTGAGGATGACAGCGAGCAACTCAGGAGGAGGAGAGGGGAAAGAAAGACAGAGAAATGCAGAGAGATAGAGTCCAGCGACGCTCCTTCTTCTCCTTCTTCTCATTGTCATCATCATCAGCATCGTCAGCACTATCATCATCACCAAAAGATCTTCATCAAGGGCTTCTTGTATCAGAACTGAATGATACGTAGTCGGTGTATTATCAGGAACTATGTGGGCTCAGGCAGCACAGTATCCCCTTCAGAAAGCGTCCGGGCTTGAAACTGCTGAACTGTATCTAGAGCTTCCTGGTTTGAGTGCTGTCGCTTGCAAAGTCCTGACGCCAAAACTCATGGAAATGTCACCACAAGTGGACAGCGTCTCTGGTCTCGGGACATCAGTCTATCCTGCAGTCCTGTGGGGGACCCTCAAAAGAGCCAGGCATTTTTGGAGCGCTGTTCTCTCATCGGACTATGTGGGACTCAACCGGGGCCTTAGCCAGGGTCGTCAGAGACAGCGTCATGTTTGAGCAGCACAACAAGTGAATTAGTTGAATCCGGAAGCTCATGTCCCTAAACCCTGAACCCTAAACCCCTGAACCCCTGAACCCCTGCTTCCCTTCCTTCGGAACGGTGTTACCCACGGTCACCTGTGCAAATCTCTCTCGATAGCGGCTTTCCAACCTGGGAGGTGAGATCCCCCATAGTAGCCATAGGCTCACTCGACAGTCTGTGCAGCATTCAGATGTTGAGAAAACTATGCCATTCATGCAACCTCCTTCGCCTCTTTCTAGTCTGGTATCAGCATAACCCTGGATCTTGTGCCCTGCTCTTGGCCGAGACGCAGGCCCGGCTGCACTGGCGAAAAAGTAGAGAGCTAGCAACAGTTCTCAGTTATAACACGAGAAAGCAACAAGGCCAACGCGAGATCAGAAGCCAGATCATGGCATGACGAACACGAAAGCTCACGCCATCTTCCAGCTGGTCACAAATTCGGACACAAGATTCAGGCATGCCAAGCTGCGAATTGACATACTGCTTGGGTGCGATGAACGCCTGCCTTATTCACCGATTCACCCACCTAGATATGAATTTGCGCACCGTAGCACAAGTTACAGTGTCGAGTCATTACTGATAAACCGGTCTGCCAGCAGTCCACATGACCGGCAACTCTGCAATGTGCTCCAAGTCTTTTGAGCTTCGCACAAGACCATGGAAGTGGAAACAGAAACTTCCACACCAAGGCTCTTCAAGGTTTCCAGAGGAATCTTCCCTGCAGCATCCCTCTCCACGACATTGACCTGAGAAGACTGGGACCGCGTTGTCTAAGGCAGGAAGGAGGGCTGGGCTCCCAAGTGGGGCTCTTCTACAAAACAGCTCACCACAAAGATCCCAAAACAGCCTACTGGCGGTGGCGGGAGGGTCGGATGTACTGAGAAGCCAAGGACTCTTCGGAGGTTCGGCTCTGAGCTTCTAGGATTTGGCGCCTGGGTCTTTCTGTGAGCGGACTTCAGGGTTTAAGGGATCAGAGGCTTCAGAGATCTTCAGAGCTGAGCCTCGCTGACTTGAGAGCCCTGGCGCCAAGAAGCCAACTCCTCGAAGCGATCGCTGGGCGCAGCTATCCGCAAGCGCGTCAGGGCATCGACGACTTGCCCTGGGGAAGGCAGAGGGTCTAGCCTCTCTCCATCTCCCTCAATAACAGTTACGACGTAGTGATTGCGAATGACCCTTTGGCTCTGTTTCGCAGGGGCATGGCCACTTGAATGCTGGGCACAGACCATCGGCTTCTAAACGTCGGACATCACCGAAGGGACGAGAAGTGCGCGGGCACTCCGAGCATGCTCATGCAAAGAGTTGTAAATGTAAACTTGGCTTGACTTGCGATGCGGCACGTATCAGTGCATGAACAACCCCTTTGACAGATTCGTGTACGTCTGTCCTACATGTACAATGTTAATTACAGGCGGAATCTTACACTCAGATCTACCTCGTCGGCAACGCAAGCCGTGGATCCCCGAAGCCGATGCCACACAGAGTGTACAGGTTATCTAGGGGTTCCTTTGCCGTGCTTACTGTGCGTGCTTCCAGGAAGACCACGTCTGAAAGATTGGTCGGATCCCGAAGCCCAGGTCCTGTGGCTGCTCTGGGGGTGAGTTGGGTCGCGCGTGAACCTGTGTTCTGTGTTGATGGAAACTTTGCTGAAATGGTAGATGTCTGAGCCACAAACATGTCATGAGGGGCGGATGAGGGGTTCAAGCGAGAAGACCGACGCCCCAAGGATTTAAAGGCGCAGTCGAAACGATCGGGCGATGAAGGGTAGAAAGTTCGAGCAATGAGGCCCCAAGGCGGCCCCCCATTTCCACGCGTCACTAGTCACTCGTTCTCTACGGCTTGAGACGAAGCACAAGCATCCACGGCACCACATCCGCTGCCGTCCATCGCCTTTGCCAAGCTCTCCGCATCAGAAACTTTCTGGCCGTACAGCTGCCGAAAGCCGGAGCTCATTGCGTTCTGAGCCTCCGGAGACAACTTCAGAGACATCCAAGACACAAACTTATGGCAACTACACTTCAATGTGAAAGGAGATATTCAATAAGTCGCCCGACCATGTCCGGCCTGCTTGAGCACACTGCCGATTCTCGACATGCGATTGCGCAGGCCCTTCTCGAAACTCTCTGCGTTCACCTCTTCTCCGCAAAGTTCCTGTATTACGTCAAAGTCAGCAACTTGTTCGTCGGTCGGCACAACAATCTCCCAATCTTCCAACCTGGGCTGGGGCGTACGAAAAGGAAAAGCGAAGCTGCATTGCAAAGGCTGCGCCAAGGAACTTCCCAGGCTGCCACACCGGCATATTTCTGCAGAAGTGGAAGGCTTTGCTGCATCGCCAGTCGTTGGGATCAGCAGCAGACTTGGGTATGAAAACCGCACCTGCACGCGGCTGTCATCCACGTTCAGCTCGATTCAAAAATGGGCTTAAGAGCCCTTAAAGGGGGACGAAATACCTCAACCCTATATGGCCCCATACCTATGCCCAAAGGAATCACCAAGCCTAAGAGCCCCCAAAGGAATCAAGAAGCCTAAGACTTTAAGAAAAGGGGCCCGGGCAGCCAAGATTCCCTTCCGGCCGAACCAGGGCTGCTCCTGCCTTTCACGCCGTGGTCGACCTCGAGGAGCAAGAAGAACTAGCAGAAATCTTATAACTAATATGTATATATATATATATAACTTTTTATTTATTTATTTATGTATCTACCTATTTCTACCTCTTTTTATTTAGTCTTATTTTGTATTCATATATATGGCCAGAATGTATAGAAGATGTTATGTTCGACACTGAAGTCGCGACGGCAAAGTGGGAGACTCACGACTTGATGCAGGGCACAGCAACTCGGGTCTTTTTCATTTGGGCCTGTAAAATGCGACTGTGCACTTCTGACAGTAGCCATAATGACTGTTGGGGTATTGAGGAGTCCGAGTTCTCCCGTGACGAAATGTGGAGCCATCTAGGCGAAACGTCCCTCCGCAAATCTTCGTCACCCAGAAGCCCTAGCCGCCCTAGCCCGAACGCCAAACCCGCCTCACACCCGAACCCGAGCACCGGTGTGACCCCTAACCAAGCATCCGGCCCTTTCGATAAAGCCTTTCCGCTTCCTCACTCAACTCGATGAGCCTTCGGCGCTCCGAGGGACTGCGAAGGTGCCACACAGGGACAGGGAGGTGCACCAATATCGGCAACACGCGAAACGTGATAGCGTTCACGATGCTACAAGCGTTGGCAAGTACGTATGATAACTCATTCTGCAGTGTCTTTTGGCTGACCGCTGATACTCGCAGGATATAGTCTTTGGGGGTTGCAAGCTTTTCGGGATCAGCATAGAAATTTGCCAACACCCTTCGATTCCGGGTTTAGCTCGTCGGCATTGTGCGGCTGTGGGGCCTTGCTAGCTGGGAGGGCGGCTTGCAATCCCAGTGTCGGCCGCGAAAAGCTTGCCTAAGGTTCAAACCCGCATCCCTCCAAATAAAACCCAATCTCCGGGCCCACAGAAGGTCGAAACTCTCTGATTTCCTCCTCCAGCCCCACTCCCCGAAACAAGGCATCGCGAAACAAGGCACCCGAACGGATCAGAACCCAGAGCCCTTGAGCCCAAAGGCGATGGGAGGCTGTACTTGAAGGAGCCCTCGCGAAGTGCAGCGGCCGACAGAGACGCTTCCGGCCGAAGGGCCAAGTCCAAGGTCTCCTTCCATGGCCGGATTTTGGGGGCGGTGACGGAAGCAGGCCGCACACCAAGGCGGAACCATGTAAAGTCACTATTCGTTTGAACATACATCTACAGAAGTATTTATGTACGTATCTATTATACATATATATATATATGTATGCATGTATATCTATATATTTATATTTATATTTATATTTATACTTATACTTGTTTATATTTTTATTTACATACACATGTAAAAACATGTATGCAGTATGTACATATACAGACCTGGTTACATAATCCTGCTTCGTGTTTATGTGGTTGCTTTTGTGTTTGCATGCACACACATTCACATGTATATCTGTAGTACACATAGTGTTGAAGCATGTATACGCAGAAGTGTAGTACAGATGCGCATGATGCGCACGCACTGTACACGGCACACAGTGCATACACATGCACAGAGTTGCTTGGCTGTATACATGCCAACGGAGACCATTGGGATAATCATGCTCCCATACATAGAGGCATGCAGATTTTGAGATACAGCCCGAAGCGTGGCTTTCATTGGTGAATCAAGTCTTGCGCAACAAGGTCAATAATACTTCCGGCTCCAGAAACGCAACAGTGGCTCTGAAAATCTGCTCCGCGGCTGCAGGGTCCTCATCTTGACTCTGGTGCTGCCGCTCCTTCTGCTTGCGTTGAAGCTGCTGTCGCTTCTCGCGTTGAACCTTCCCAGCTCAAGCATCTACTCGAGGTTTAGCCGATTCGCCTCTGGGCATGGCAAACCCCTTAAGTCTCGACCCTCAACAGTTGGGGCATCGTATCAGCTGCCTCTCGAAAGATCAATCAATTCCAGCAAACCTTTTGTCCGCGTTTCCCTGAAGGCACCTGGGGATTCAGCTAAACATGCATGCATCGAACCTCGAACCCCCACGGAAGCATCGAAACATCACCTCAGGCTCTTTAATAGAAACATGTAGCCACCAGATAGGCAGAGCATCGCAAAAACAAGTATTCAAGACAGGCGATGAACAACTGCACTTCAACTCCTGCTTTGACTCCGAACTGCTCGGATCAACCATCTGGAGAACTGATATCCAAGCCCCATTGCCTCCGACTGCCTACCAGCCCAAGTCTGCAATATCCTGACTGAAGCAGCTTCGGAAAAAGCAACCCTAAACCCTGAAGTTCCTAAAACCCTAAAGTTCCTAAAACCCTAAAGTTCCTAAAACCCTCAAGTTCCTAAAATCCTAAAGCAACACTAAACCCTAGGGTTTAAGCCTAAGCTCCTCCTGAAGCTGCTTCTCGACCTTTGGGGGCGGCGGAGAGCGCCGTCGCGTCGACTGTTCCACCAGATCGGGAAGGCATCTCATCCTTGGTTTAGGGGTACTTTCAGGGATCCTCTAAGGGTCTCTATATCGGCTAAGTATAAGGGTTCAAGCAGGGCCTACTATAGTGTTGCGGTTGCGGTTGCTGTTGTTGTTGTTGGTACAGACAGGAACAGCAGCCCATAATAACTTATGCGAATTAGCAACAATTGGGAATGCTGCTTCCGGTGACCGTATTAGGGGGGAATGCCAAGGTTTACACAGCATATTGATAGAAATGCGGTGTAGGCTGGGCGGTTGTTGTAAAGGGGCGAGGTCAAAACAACAGACGGGGCTCCAGTTTTTGTCTCTAGCAGCAGGTGGAGACAAAGTCCTGATTTCAACGGGGCCTTTGTCTCTACCTGCTGGCAGGGACAAAAACTGGAGCCCCGTCTGTTGTTTTGACCCCGCCCCCGCCTTACCACAACCGCCCACATTACACCACGTTTCCACCCCAGGCGTGGGAATCCGCGAAATGTAAACGGTTTCCATGGGTTGAGATTTAATGGCAATGTTGTCATGGGATTCTGCTGGGTTCATGGCGTTTAGGGGTTTTGTGGGGTTTCGAAATGCTTTGTCTGGAAGTTTCAAGGGTTCTCATTCGATACCGAACGGTTCAAAAAAGGATTTGGACGGATTTTGCAGGGTTTTACGTGATACCGTGGTTGTTCCGTGGGATTCTGAAGGATTGTGATGGGTGGGGGTTAGAGGGGTTTTGATGGTGTTTAGGATGGTTTTTCAGGTTTTTGTTGCATTTGGAAGGGGATTTGGAAGGATCTCAATGCTTTGGAAAGCGTGGGCTTTAGGCGCTTTGCCCGGATCTCAAACACAAACCTAAACCCCAAAATCTCAGACGACTGCAAGTTCTTCAGCCTAGACGCCGGTGAATCCTAGACACCTATTGTATGCACTCTGACAAACCTGGACTCGTTTGAAAATCTTTGGAAATCGAGTGAACATCCTTGGAAACGATTGAAAATCCATGGAAATCCAAATGCAAATCCTTCAAACCCTGTAAACCACCATAGCCACTG